GCCACCATGAGGGAAACAACTCTGTTCCACCATATGCTGCACCCCCTACCCCTGCTGCCCAATGTTGTGCTGCTTCACCTCTGTCCCAGAAGAAATGAGGCCAAGTGAATATGAACTGAAACATATTACACCATGAGCAAAATAAGCCTTTTCTTCTTTACAGTTCATTACCTCAGGTATTTTGTCACATAACAGAAAGCTGACTAAATCAATTAAGTCTATCTTATATAGTCTTTTATTCAAGATGCCTTGGTGAGTATACCATCTTGAACAATGTTGCAAGACTCTAACATCTTGAACAATGTTTGATACATAGTTTTTATTCAATAAGTATGCTAAATGTTGCTGAATGGATTCCTATAAATATTTCTACATATCACTATAACTACAGTCATAAAGCATAAGAGTAGTAGATAATGTTTGACTAGAACCTATATGTTAGTATTTGTAGCTTAGGGGTTTACACTCATTATATAGTTTTATTTCCCACAAAAACATTACAGATAGGCTCAATCATTCACTCTCAGCTGACATGAAGACTCTGTGGTTTAGGATGCAGACTTAGTTAATGTTATTGGTCAGGTAACAGACAAAATATTCAAATCCATGTAGTTTGTCATCTAAACCTGTAACCACAAACCCTCTATGGCATCCTAGTGACTGAATAAGCATTTTTTTCCCAGGGTCATTGATCTTCTGAGCACACTTTTGGTTCTGTGCATTCAAAAATGTATGTCTTTAATTATATTAAACTTAGAAAATGATCCAAAAAATGTTTAGTAAAGTCACTTGGTAGACAGCCTTGTACACCTTGTCAACTTTATTTTTATTCTCTTTGAACATAATAGGTGATACCATACTTGATTAAGTTATCATTTAATTTAATTGTTTTACATGTTAATGTGCACAATAAGATCAGATTATAGAAGATATTTTAGAGGTTAAAACTAACAAACTTTCTTTGGAGAAAGAAAACATCTCTTTTGATGGAGTTTTATTTTGCCATATAGTCTGCTAGCAATTCCAACTCTCTCATAAAAATTTAAAATTTAAACTTTAGCCAAAAACAAACAACAAAAAAAGACAAATGACAAGCTTAGTTGAAAATACATCAGTAAAAAAAATTAAAACTTAATTTTATATGCCCTGATGGCAAAAGAAGTGTTATATATTTTAAGAATGCAGTTCAGAGAAGGAAAGAAAAGCAGATTGCAGAATACATTATTACATTTTAGTATGAAATTAAGAAGTTATTTCAATATAAAATTTGGTGCTACCACTATAATGAATCCAAAGTAAGAAATAATAAATAATACAACTTAGAGATTTTCTTGTTATAATTACATATGAAGATCCACAGCATGTTAGAGTTTCTAAACATTTATTTTTTTCTTTAAAAACTTCTTTGAGCAATGCACATTCAATATAAAATAATTAGTAAATCTTCTATTTTTCGTTTTTTAAATACGTTTTATTTAGTTATATATGACAGTAGAATGCACATTGACATATCATATATAAGTGGAGTATAACTTCTCAATCTTCTGGTTGTACATGATGTAGAATCACACTGGTCATGTAACAATACATGCACATAGGGTTATAATGTCCTATTCATTCTAATAACCTTCCTACCCCTACCCCCATATCCCATCCTCTCCCTTCACTCCCTTCTGCCTAATATAAAGTAGCTCTATACTTCCCTACCTCCATACCACTTACTGTGAATTAGCATCCACATATCAGAGAAATCATTTGGTCTTTGGTTTTTGGGGATTGGCTTATTTTGCTTAGCGTGATATTCTCCAGCTCCATCTATTTACTGGCAAATGGCATAATTTCATTCTTCTTTAAGGCTGAGTAATATTTCATTGTGTATATATACTACATTTTCTTTATCCATTCATCTGTTGAAGGACACCTAGTTTGGTTCCATAGTTTAGCTGCTATAAACGTTGATATGGCTACATCACTGTAGTATGCTGATTTTAAGTCCTTTGGGTATAAACCTAGGAGTGGGATAACTGGGTCTATGGTGGTTTCATTCCATGTTTTTGAGGCATCTCCATACTGTTTTCCATAATGGTTGCACCAATTTGCAGTCCCAGGATTATTTAGTATGTCTGACTGGACAACTTCAGTTAATGCCTTACATGGCCACTTTTTCTACTGCTAACCTAGTGCAGATGTGGAGTGTGATTGGTGAGTCCAAGCTGTCTTAATGAGAGAAGGAACTATACTTGTCATTCACTCTTGTGTTTTCAATGCCTAGCACAGTGTTTGACACTTGAATGGTACTCCATGATATTTCGCTGACACTAAGTTGATATTAATTTTTAGATGTATCCTACTTTTAAATGTTACCAGGAAGAAAGCACATTGCCACTTAATTTATGACAAATTATTTATTATTTTACATATTAATTATGCATTTATCCAAAATATGACTCTTAATTTATTTTGACATGGATTCATTACACTCATGTGAAAATGAAAATAGAAGCTACGAATTTAAACTCTTCATAAAATTTTTATGTTCAGAGAACAACTAATTGTGTTTTAGCTCAGAATTGCTGGAAGTGCCTGTTTCTCAGTACCATATAAATCTTCATGCTGCAAGAGCATCAAAGGGGGAATTACCAAAAATTGGGCTTTCCTCTTTTTTCTGAGATTTTTCTTACAAGCAGCTCCCATTCATTTTGTAAGTTTGCTGCTGGTGGATCTTTGATCTTATCAGATGGTTCAGCAGAAAGCTTATAGATTACAGTATCAGAAATCATATCCCTCCTTAAATAGTCCTCAAGTTGTCTTTAACTGAAACCTCAAGAAAATGAAATCATTCTGTCATTCCAGTAACTATTGCAATCAAGTTGGCACAAGTGCAGGCAAGGACATACATATATGTATATCCATGCAACTACATGTCTAACAGCATGGTGGTTTTCCATTGGTTGAAAGGTACATCCCAATTTCAGAAATGTTAAAATGTGAAAAAAATTTACTTTTCAAATTGATGAAATATATTAAAATAATAAAAAGGTGTCAGAAAGAAGACAAGAAATATGGGTGGGGATGGCATGTTTTATGTGTAATAAAATAGATGGAGCCCATAGCTCTTGCCTTCTCCTTGTAAAAAAAGCTCTTCTCATGTGAGAAATATCACCAGGAACAGTTGCATACAAGCTCCTGTTAAATTTTAATTAAAATAAATTCTATTGGCTCATTTTATTAGTATTTATTAATAAACTCTAGTAGAGTCAACACTCTTGTAGTTGATAAGGGTATGATCAGGAATCAAAAGTTCACAGTGTTACCTTCTAAATGGGGAAGCCCGTATTGTAAATAAGTAAAAATTAATTAAACTAGATAAATCCAGAGTAATTCCTTTTGTCATGTTATTGATAGGGAATAACTGTAGTAGGAGAGATGATTTTTAGATTGTATCCTACTTTTAAATGTGTTAAATTTTAATTAAAATAAATTCTATTGGCTCATTTTATTAGTATTTATTAATAAACTCTAGTAGAGTCAGCACTCTTGTAGTTGATAAGGATATGATTAGGAATCAAAAGTTCAAATGTGTTACCTTCTAACGGGGAAAGCCCATATTGTAAATAAGTAAAAATTAATTAAACCAGATGAATCCAGAGTAATGCCTTTTGTCATGTTATTGATAGGGGATAATTGAAGTAGGAGGAATGATTTTTAGATTGGCAGTCAGGGAAGACCTAATTGAAAGCTGGATTCATTGACTGAAAGCACAAATGGATGGGTGAGTGAATGAATAGAAAGAGCCATTTAGAAATACTAACTTGGCATAGCTTTCACTTAACTTTCCTCATTTATTTATTTCTGCAACAGGAATCCCTGCTATATTCCAACTCCAAATTAAGGAGAAACGTCATCCATTTCTCCCCATTAGAAAAGCAGCTTTTTCCTCTGTATGAGCTGATTTAACCAACAAAATTTACACAAACCAGAGGATATTTCCCTGAATGGATTCGTGAGAGACTTTTAGTCATGATTAAAGTCGAATATAAATTATGGTTTATTTTTGACATCTAAATGTCATCATTTTATCAGAGAACTATGACAATTGTCTTATTTTAAAAATATTTTCTATATATAATTAGCTGTCAATATTTCTTCAAGAGTTGTTTAAATTCTTGTTTTAATAAGGCAATTACTTTTAAAAAATGTAGAAACACCAAAATTATTAGTCTCTGTGGGTTTTTAAGAGGTTTACCATCCACATAAGCAAAATCTCTACAGAACGTGTGGCAACAGTTTCATGTAAGTGTCACTTGGTGGCAGCATAACAAAATTGCTATAAAAGTTCTTAACTTGGAGAACTAAGCTCTTTAATGAATAAGCTGGTGAAAAACATTATAGCTATTTTGTAAAGTACAAAAAACATGTCAGTGTTTTTAATAAGTTACTGAGGAAAATCTCTTAAAATACCATATTATAAATGGTAAAAATTATAATTTCATTAATATAGCATTTATTTTAAAATATTTGTTGTTTCTATTGTCTGACAGGATCTGAGTTAAGAATTGGGCTAGAAAGATAAATTCATCATGGTCTCTATTATGGGCTGAGTTGTCCTAAAATTCTCATGTTGAAGTATGAAACCCCAGGACTGTAGAATGAGACTATATTAGAGATAGGGTCTTCAATGGGGGAATCAGGTTGGAATGAGGTCATTAAGGTGAACTCCTATCTTCTATGACTGTTGTACTTCTAAGAAGAGGAGATCTGTACACAGACACACACAGAGGAAGACTGTACATAGTCACTGGGAGAAAATAGCCATCTACAAGCTCAGGAAAGAGATTTCAGAAGAAACCAACCCTGCCAACATCTTGATCTGACTCTTAGCCTTCAGAATTATGAGAAAATAAATTTCTGTTGCATAAACTACCCAGTGGTATTTTATTACAGTAGCCAAGTAAATTAATAGTTTCCAGGCTTATGGGGCTAACATTGTTTTATCTTTCCCCAATATGGATCACTTCACAAATTTGCATGCCATCCTTGTGCAGGGGCATGCTAATTTTCTCTATATTGTTCCAGTTTTAGTATATGTGTTGTAGAAGTGAGCACATGGGGTTAGCATTCTTTAAAAAAGGGAGGGGGGAGAAGTAGCAGCAGCAGAGGGCAAGTATTTATAAGACAACATGACAGGTTTTGTAATAGATGTATAGATGTATGATCAGATTGTGTCGGGGTCTTGTTGGAGAGTGGACACTTCAGATGATGGTGGGAGGCCCCATATAAGATTTAGTGTAAGATTTTGGGTGGTGAATAAGAATTTTCCATGTAGATAAATTGAAACATGAAGGAATGGCATTTAGGGAAAGAAGCTGTTGAAACTGGTGACGGATGGGAGTGCATGCTGTACTGTGAAAAGGACACATCGTACTGATGGCTGATGCCTGAAGACAACCTAGAAAGGTAAATTGGAAATAGAATTTGAAAGAGGCCATAAGACATATGAAAGTATATACTAATTGTCCAAATCATTCCTTCTTTGAAAGGGGTTGAGGTGACATGGAAAATAGGTTAAAAGGATAAAGTAAATAAATATAGATAAAAATAAAAACAGATCAATAAGATATGGTAACCATAAGAACCAGGGTACTTGCAGTGACTGAGCTTAATTTAAAGGTTCTGAAGCCAGGACACAAATAGAAAGATAAGAATGTTAGAATAAGATAAGAAAGAATATGATAAGAAAGTTCATTTTCTTAGTGTTCATAAAGTATTTGAATTAAACAGGAAGGGCAATTATTACATTATATAGGGATATAATGAATATTCTCTTCAGCAGCATTTTGCTGTTTGTAGACAGATTTTGTTAGAACCTCGGTAGAAATAATCATCTATGGTGCAGTGTCTTCATGAGCTCTAAGACCATATCAAAACATGTTCCTAAAACACATTTGTAATAATGAATTTTGGTAAACATCTTAATGTTTAAATTAGCAGCATGCTCAGAATTTAAAGGTGGTGTGCTGTGGGGATAACTGAGTGGCAGAGCATTAATCCAACCCAGGTGAAGTCCTTTGTTCAATCCTTAAAACTACAAAACAAACAACAAGAAAAGGTGATTTGTTTGAATTGATGTGTTAATTTTGTGATCACATGATTTACATGGGTAAAAAGTCATAAATTCCATCCATGTCTACCATATCTTTTAATCTTCCTACAAAATATTTAATAACTACCACAAAACTATTATGTCACATGAATTGATAGCCTAGAGATAAGACCCCATACTGTTTACATACTAATATAATTAGGAATGACATAAGATCAGTTTGTCTTGTCTCTTATTGAAATTATATTTGAAATATGCAGTTAATATATTTCTAGATAATGTCTCCTTTAGTCTTAGAGAAAAAAATGTGCACACATGTATATGGGCTGTATCAGTCTTCAAATATAGATGCTGCATATATAGATATATAGATATATCTTCTTTGTAGAAAAGGAGACTGGGAGAGGCACAGAATCTATTCATAACTTGTCAATGTTAACAACAGTTCTTACCCCAGGTAAAGTCTGATAAAATTAAAGAACATAGATCTTTAACAAAAATAATTTACAGGTGAATTTCAAAAGCACCAATTTTCACCAGGTGTGTGTGTGTGTGTGTGTGTGTGTGTGTGTATTTCTAGAGAAGTTACTTGTGTGGCTTTATGTTAAATTACACAAAGTAATCTACATCCAAATCATCTATCCATATACAAACTGTCAACTGGGAGGGGTAAAGTATTGGGTTTTATTTGACAATCATGGGACTTAGAACATTTTCACTTAGGACACAGTCTATTATTCCTAGGGCACTTTGGTGAGGGCTGAGGGGAAGGTCGAAATATGCTGAACTAAAACTCCTAGGAAAGATAGATGGATGAGCTCCAGCAATAAAAAGCATTTTATCCTTTATACTTCATTCTAGCATTCTAAATCCTCAACAGCTATGGTATATATGCCTGAAAATTTGCATAATTTAATCTGAGGCTAGCTCTTCCTTTCTGGCTTTCTAAGGCTAGGAAGAAATCTGCAGATTTTCACTGCCAAGGCAGTACTACAGAGCTCTGAGTGTCAAGCAGGGCATGTATCATGGTAAAACACAGGGACTATTTCTCTTCTCAAGCCCCATGGCCAGCTCCCAGTGAGGAAAGCACCAGAGTCAATGAGAGCTCTTTCACAGTTTCCAAATTCTAGAGCCCATATGAAATATGATTGAAGAGAAATGTATTAAGCAGTCCTATTCCTTCTGCACAATGAAGCTGTGTGGTCAGAGAATGTCTAATGGTGTTACCCAGGAAATGTTGCAATGCTTAGGTGTCTAGGTAATGGAGAAGTTCACCTTTATGACCAGGCTCCTAACAGGAAGTGATCTTAACTGCAAAGAGCACTTAAAAACAACTTGTCCACCATATGGAGTGTTGATCACAGACCATTGAGGGAAAATATAGATGAGAAAATGGCAAAAGGGAAAATGCAGACAAAGAGTATTAAAGAGGGAGACAATATCAGCCTACATTATTATTATTATTATTATTATTTCTTCTTCTTCTTCTTCTTCCTTCTTTTTTGGATTGACATCAGCGTGTGCAGCATGTTTTTAAGAATATTTATGTTTAAGTATTTATAGTAAATCATATGTATGTATGTATGTGTGTGTGTATATATAT